ATTTAAATACTGGTTCTTAATTAAATCTGAACTCATTTGAAAAGGTGTAATGAAATACTTGTATCTTGTAGAGGAAATTCTTGTATGCAAGACTCACATTTATCACAAAGATGAAGCGGAAACACCTCTTTTCACAACAGCACGGTAACAACTTTGGGTTTCTCTTGCAAATACTAATGCTTTCAATTTAGGATGTGCAGAAAAATATTGAAAGTGATTTTTTACTATTTTCAAATGTTTCCAATTGGCAATTGGTAAAAAAGTATGACAAATTTTTGACATCATTGAAATGAACGATCTTCTTGTTCTTGACAGCAGTAGATGAAAACTGATCTCTTGGTAAAAGCATCAAACAATAAAATTTCTGGAACCAAAAAGGAAAAAACTAAAAAATAATTCCTCCAAAATTAAAAGGAATCAGTAAAATGGAAGGTTTAACTGAGGATTGTACTCTGTGCAATGAAGCATCGTATGATATTGTAGATGCCGAAGTGTTCGAGGTAACTATTTTGGGAGTTACGACGAACATAGCATAAAAGGTAAAAGGGTTCATAAAAGGTTCATTGACTTCTATATTTTTGTCAAAAAATTTCTGATACAGAAGTTAGTTTTTTTCGAACGCCTCCGCTTTAACACGCTCACTTTGCACTTTAAATCATCAAGTTAAATTTAAATTTTACTTATAACAACTAGATTTTTGGTATTCCAGCTAAAGTTGAATACTATATGAGTATTGAATAATTTCAAGTAGAAATTCTATTAATTTTAGCCTTCAACTTAGAAATCACAAAAATTGGAAGAATTATCATCTCTTTATTTTTTTTTAGACTATTTTTTCATATTTGATTTTCAAATATGGCTTTCAAAATATATCTTTAGGAACGATTTGGTAAAAATATCTAAATAATTAAAAATCCAAAATTATTCTATTTAGTAGTGTATTTTTGACTAATATTGAAACCATATCCCATACATTTTTATTTAATTCAAAAATTTACTTATCCATCATGTCATTAGACAATTTTGGTCTGATATTCATACATAGACATGAACATAAATTAGATCAATCAATATTAATACAAATAATTACTATTTCTATAATTATATGCCTATGAATGACTTTTATTTTAAAAAGCTTATAAATTTATTGTTTTGAAGCGATTTTAGGGCGAAAGATTAATGTTCTTACATTTTCTTGTTGAAAAAAAAAACTTGTTAATTTTTTGAATCCATAATGTTTAGAATGAATAATTTATTACATTATTTGATGTCAAACCGTTTGATATCAAATGGTCAATATTCTTTTCAAATATAATCGATTTTAAGATTTTTATTTAAGTTAATTTGAAAATGAAATAATAGTCATATCTAAAAATTATTATAGAAAGTGCATATGATATTACGTTAATATATTAGATAACAAAAGTTCTGAAGTTTTATATGACAAAATGTTACGTCCATTTTATTACAAAAAATTCATTCGTACACAAAAATAATGCTAATTTTTTCCTATTTTTCGGAAATAAATATTTTTTAATGAGATTTTCTTTTCTATCTAAATAATTCCTTTTAAAAATATTAGAAAAATATCTAATTCTTGAACTTTGATTCAATTTTCTATCATTTTATTTCCTCATCATTGACTTGAAAATGATAAACTTCAAATAGAATTATGTTATTTCAACAATTATAAATACATTTTATGTCATTTACTTGATAAAATATATTTTATACAAAATTATTAAATGCAATCAAATTCTTGAATTAAATTGCAAATAACTAAATCTAATAGATTTTTTTTCCACAAAAAGAGTTTAAGATTGAAAATTTTGCAATCAAATTAAGCTTTTGTTTTTTCAAATATTTTAGAAAAACAAATGTAGTAAGATTTCTTATATATTACAAATTTTCTTTTGCTAGCCCTCTTGTATAATGAAAATCTAAAGCCTAATTGGAATTAAACACTCTTATACATTGACAGTTTAATCTAACCAGAAGTAGTATTGAACTAACCTGAGAAACAAGAAGATGTGAATTAATTCATATGGATGATAAAAAAATGCCAAATTAAGATTCTAGTTGAGAAAAAATATATTTTATATTCAAAAATCTATAGATTGATTAACTAAAGGGAGTGAAAACATATATTCATTTAAGCTCGTCCAATTCAACTTGTACAAAAATGATTCATATATTGAATGTTTGTCACCACACATTATATAGAGAAAAAAGAATTTTAAAGTTTTAAATGAAGCAAATAAATGAATTATGAAATTCATCTCATATCCTATATTACATTTAAAAAATGATAGTGTTATTAAGATCCTTAAGTTAACCAAACGAGAAGATATAAATTTTTTAAATTTTGAGCTTTTTGGATTCATTGAACAAAAAGTAATTATTCTTGATCAATTAAAAAAACCTATTTTGAACTTGTTTCGAATCAAAGACAGTTAGAATTAAAATCTTAAATCCTATCTCCGAAAAAAAAATAAAAAATCTCATATTTGAGTAATATAATTACTAAGGCGTTGATGATTTAACATCAAAATAATCAATTGCATCTGATCATATTTTATTTTAATTTCAGCTTAAATAACTTTAATTTTAACTTACAATTCAATACAACTACCTCTATATAGTGAAAAGATATATAATTTATCTTTTAAATCGTCATGAACACAATCTATGAACGTTGATGAAGACAAAAAGATGAATCAGTCCATTTGTCTTCCAGATGACCGAAGTTCAGAAGCATGTTAGAAATTCATTCTTTAGATTCGAAAGTGGACATCTGGATTCCTGTACTTTACAAGATAGCTTTCCGATTACTGTTCTAGCTGATCCGACTCTCGGAGTGGTCAACCTACTTTCTTTTTCATACCCTTCTCTAAGTCACACACTGAATTCTCATTAAGTCTTCAAACTAATTGAGTTCAATACTGTTTGACTGATCAGGAAAAAAACATGTGATTGGTTCATAGAGTTTCGAAATCATAGAAAAGATCCAGTGGACATCGAAATGATAAGCTGGGCAGAGTTCACACCTGGATCGATGTAAACCGCGATTTGTCCTGACTAGTACGATCTGGCAAACGTTACTTATAAGCAGTTTGCAGACTTGGCACATGAGGATTCAATAATCTGATAACTGTTACAATGTTTTATTTTAACAACTACGTTTTGACATTATTCTAACCATTTCGAAGAGGACACAACAGAATGATTTTGTTTTCAACAAATATTTGGTTATTGGAGAATAAATGTAAGCAGCACTCTGGACTTGTCAGAATCAAGTAGCGCACTTTACCAAGCGCAAGGCCTGGATGCTACAGGATCCTACAACTGAACGCGGAGAAATGAAACCTTCAATTGTATACGTAAGGACGTCGATATAGAACGTCTTCATTGGATGCACATGAACAATCCTCCAATGAACCCAGCGTTTACGACATCCACGACAATTGCATTTAATGTACAAAAGTCTCTCCAATTCTTCCATAATGATTTTCGATTCTCATTGGAAAATGACTTCCAGCCGGAAACATCGCGCTCTCAAATCTCTGATGATTATCGATCGGTCTCGCATGAAGGCTTCAGACGTGTTGACCGCTGTTAGTCACGGCGTGGAGGAACAGCTGCTAAAGGACCTGTGCAACAGATCACTGTCGGAGACTGCTGTCGGGTGGGGTAAGGCATGTCGACCGCTGAATGCACAGCGCGCAGAAGAAGCTCTTACATTCTTCTAGAATATGCGAATTACAAGAAAAACATTAACTAAACGAAGACAGAGAGTTGCAACACAGATATGATGAAGGACCAGAAATCCAAGCCCGAAATAACATCAGAATCTTTGCATATGATCTCATGCGTTTTTTTTCTTTATCACGTGTTGGTGTCGGCAATTGTTTGAATTAGCATTTGGTTTTCTCTTTCTACTTTAAACACTCCAGATGTCTACGTCGAGCATAAGATATACCAGCAAATCGGCTGAGGTTATCCTCTCCCAGTAATATCAAGTCGATATAAAAAGAAATAGAATTAGTTTCGGACAGATATTAAGCTCCATACATAAGGGACTCGGGACAGTCAAGCCGGCCAGCCATGTAGCTACGTTGGCTTAACGAGTTGGACCTATCTATATTGGGTTATGGAATGCTGCTAAGTATGGATACATGCACCTTCTTTAGAGAATTATCTTTTCTGAATTTGCTTCTACTTTGTGCTTCATTTTCCTTTTTCCTCTATTTATATATATCTAAAATGGAAGTTTAAATAGATAGTTAATACCATAAATCTAGATGTGTAGATTTTAACTCCGTTGTTGTAAAGAATCTAGGGCATCAGAGACTACATGTCATGGCGCCGACGTAAGTGACGACGTGTGATCACAAATTATGAAGAATTGATATCTGTATAATTTTTCTTCAAGTTTATTTGCATGCAAGAATATCACAGTGTTAAGACGCAGATCATGGATGCTTACACAAACATCTCAGGTTTGATGAATTAATCACGGAGGAGCTGTCACAATTTCTTTCATGGAACAAAAAGCTGAAAGAATAGATTTGGTAAAATAAAGCATTGAAGTTGAATTTATTAGTTTAAGGCTACAGGATTACTCCTAGTCCTTGAAATAGTCTAGTCCTTCAATGTAATTTCAGTACACATTATTCAAATCAGGTAACTTTCATTTTCTTAGGTTTCATTATGAGTAATTTTCAAAGCACGGCATACTCTCCCCTTGAAAAATGGGCTTTGAACGAGGTATATAGTTGTGGACAAAAACCAAGCAGCTATTCATCAGATATTCTCTGCGAATCAATCTGCTTTGGAGATTCAGTTCCCCTTGAATAGTGTTGCACCACTGCAGTGATATTCATCAAATTCTTAAAGAATTAAGCGAATGCTACTGAAGGTCTATAGAACACATATTACACTCTATATTCAAATATGTCACTTCTATAAGTTCTGAACGAGTCCAGAGACTGAGACATTTGTTACAACGAGGAAACGCACTTTATTGCTCACATTTTCTCAGGAGAAAACTTCTCACCACAGACATGATTTCTGTCCTCACATCTTGGGTAGCAGCCAGTTGCTACCGAGAGTGTGAGGAAGTTGAACTAAAGTAAGCTCAAGTGAAACTATACGTCTGATGGTTTCCAACACGAATTCTAAGCAGGAACTTCTCGACGCATTCTGATCTGCCTAAAGTGTAGATCGGCAATCCTGCACTAGTGCGAGAATCATGGCAGACTAAACACCATCAGCAGCATCAGACGTTGTTGGTCTCAGCCCCAAGCTTAAGTGATGGTGATTGTGGCGTACAGATTGTTTCCGTCCTCCTTGTAGTAGTCAACCTTGATGTTCTCGCCCTTGGACGTTTTCTTCTCAATGCTTGCCAGCTGCTTCCACAGCATCTCATTTCGGGGCCCGTTGTCGTAGTAAGTGGGGTGGATAGCTGTGCCGGTTTCTGTAGACTTGAGGTCAGGAACAATGTCGCACCACCGCTTGTAGTTGTGTACTCCCACAGCGACCAGGAAGAAGTCGCCCTGTGGGTTTTCGAAGCGCAGCAGACCAGAAGTGCCGCTCTCGCCCATGGTCAGGATCTGCTCTCCGTCCACATCTCTCCAGGTTGCGCCTTGGGCGAAGTACCATACGGTCTTCTCCACGATGCTGTACCAAGCAGAAGGCTTGGTCTGAATGACTCTCACGTGGATGCTGTAAGTCATCTTCGCTGCTTACGGTCACGGCGTCGAGCAGGAGCAGCTGCGAAAATGGCGAGGAATAGAATTGCCTGATTGAGTCAAAACAAATGTTTGAGGGAATGAGGCTGTGGTATGAGGCTGTGCTGGAGCCCCTTATATAGTGTATCACAGGCATCCATTCCAGCCAAGGTAGAGAACATCTCTGACAGATGCCTAATTCACACATGCTTTCCTCATGTTTCAAGTAACTTGAAGACTCATAGACTGTATCGATCACTCTATGTAGAGTAATTCATGAGATTTAGTTTTACATGATGTTTTGCGCTCGATACTTACATCCCATGGCTGTGAACTTTACAGCGCTGACATGGTTGAAAAAGCAGGTGAGGAACATAGAACTTAAATTTAGTCCTCCATCTCGTGGTTATGAATCTTATGATTGTCATGCTCAGCATATGCATTACGAGCTCTCGCTTTGAAATATTTAAGGCAGAGAGGTAAAGTACATCCCCTTGCTACCGCTTGCGTGCAATGAAAGCTTGGCTCTGCATATATGTAGTGAAATGGGATGTTTGGGTACGAAGAGTCAAGACTGTCTATTTCATTGACGTAGTCAGAGCGGCTAGCTTTGCAGATTATGTCTCAGTAAGCATCAATTTACCATAAATTCTGATTGCTACTTCCATTTAGTGACATCTACAACCTGCCTGATTCTGGGGAATAGCAGATTTTACTATTATATTCAACTGTTTAACTACGATTCCTTTCCCTTGTGGGCGTGACAATCTGCAGTAAAAGCAAAACAAATAGCGCCGGGATGCCCAGTTTATTGAAAGGAATGGTAACACCTGGAAGCTCGTCGTAAATTATCCTTTTAAAGTTGTTACTACCTCGTAACGTGCGAGTCAGGTTGAATTCAGCAGTAATGGCTGCTGAAAACCTCCAGTGATAAAGACTTTTGCTCACGAATTAGATCTCTGCAGCAGCCCGCGAGCCCATTATTGACATCTGTGCTGTCCGAACATCCATGCAAAACAGAGCGCTAGATGAATGCGTGGGCCGTTTATGATGGGCCCATGTTCCCTTCCTAAGCTTAACTCGGTGTTACCAGATTTCCAAGAAAGGCGTGGACTTTCACCCTGGCTTCCTATCAAACGTAGACGTACTCTACATATTTAACTACAAGATACTTCCAAAAAAAGGACGTACCTTACACGGAAATAATTATCACAACTACTGTTTGTATTATGTGTATGTGAACCAATAAATTAAAATTTATTATTTATAAATAGAGAAAGAGACCAGAGGAAACAAGAGACTTCAATTACGAAATAAGTATGAGACGCACAAAGAGTCCAGCGGAGAATACTTCGGTTGGATTTGTATCAGTTATTGAAGGCGTTTTAATAATGAATTTCTTACTTAAAGACTGGAATGTGTCTTTTCGATTAGTCCTTGCAGAATAATTTTTTTTTAATCTACATCCCACGTATCCACGTCAAGGATATGTGTACTTGAAATTGAAAAGTGGCGGAAATGTCCTACTATCCCAAAATGCTGAGCATTTTATTCAACTGTCACTGATGATAATATACCAACCATGTATACAAAAATATCGATTAGAGTCTATTGTGACAAAAGAAAATCTTGTTTAATCTTTTTCCTGGTGAGTGAATGAATGACTCGTTATGTGGTTTTCAGCCATTTTACCCTTCGGGTCCTGAGGACTTCATCTATTTACAATTCATAATACCCCTAACATGACTCTTTTGGTTGATGGCCTGCCTCAGCTTTGACAGAAACCGTAGTCATATGTACAACAGATCTTCTGAGTTTACTTTGGCTGGCTGGGCGATTGCTTGGATCATTGCCATGCTATATGAATTTCACCGGTAGAACTTGACAGCGCTGTATGCTCTCGTCAAGGAATGTTCAGACATAGTCCCACGCATCTGACACGTCCAGAGAGTTGCTTTAGTTTATTCTCCAACAGACCAAATAATTGTGGAAAAGAAAATCATATTGTTGTACGTACGAAGCACGAGAATCTCGTGCTTCGTACGTATCCTTTACAATCTGACTAAGAATCTAAAGGGCATTTGAAAACGTGTAGAGATGGCTCCACGTACTGTACGTATGTACTCCCATCCTTTTGCGTTGTTACTTGGTCCCTCAAACATCGCATATATTTGGGCACATTACTGTTTTGGGATTGTGGCAGCGAATAGAACGGTGGTCTACGAGTCAACCTGTATTTTCAGTAAGATCCTGTAATATGATTCTCAATGTGCAGAAAACATTCTCAATATGATTGAGAAGCTTTTCTGCACGGTAGATAATAAGGTTTGGAGGAGCATTCTCAGCGACTTCACGGACGAGAATCAGCCCAAAGACTTGAGTGGAAGGAGGTCGATAACTTGAATAACTGAGAGCCTTCTGGATTCTACGGAACGTGGGGAATGAAAGTCGACAAAATATATGTCCTCAGGGAAAGAATACACTACTTAAGCTTGGCTTGCATATGAACAAACCTCAAGATTCATCCAGAAGAAAAATTGATACAACTTCGACTGACGTTTAGAAATGAAATCCTGAGTCTAGGATTTGTGTTTGCTGAACCTACAAGAATGGCCAAGAATCCTGAAGATTAACGTATGGCTAAGCATTCGACAACATTGGTGACAAGAGGGTCTTGAAGGATGAACATTTTCTCCTTGTCGCACTTTATTCCACTTCGAGGTTCTTCTTAGCACCACTAGCCGTCATGGTAATGTCTATATATGTTTCTTATGCATAAGAGTTACCATTTGTCAAATAGCTTGCACCGCTGACGTCCTTAAAAGTTCTGCTGGGGTTGTTGTAGAATAATATATATGAATTCCACGTCACAAATCTGGAACTTCGGAAGACAGCCTTTGTTATCACCTAACCATCTCTTCTCCGTCCATGAAGATTGTATACAGTCGATGCATTTCATCAGCCATAGTCATCATTTTCGATTCTTGATCGAATATGGTTAACAGCCCGTGGCTTCGCGTTTTAGATTATGTGATGTTTCTGGATCATTCTCACGTGATGTTGGTTTACGGCTAGATAAATCCTCCAATTCAAGGCTTCCGGTAGCAGCACCTGCTATGTGTGCAGTAACTGGACTGATTGCAACATATGTCAATTCGAGACGGACTCTAGCTGACGGATGGGTGAGCGCATGTTTAGCCTTGTAGAACACCATCGATAACAAGCAGCTATTGAGTGATGAGTGACTGGAAGTCTTAATAAAGGAAAGAATCTGAGAGGGTAATATGGCTGAAGGAGCGAAAAGACATGTCACAGATCTATTCAAAAGTTCTATAATAGACCAACGACCATGATCAAGGCTAATTGGCAGTTGGTCATTATGGAATGAGACCTCAGGTGTGAAGAAATGGAGCTAGAATTTCAACTTGAGATAGGTCAGCAATCTTATTCGGAATTGCGTCGACCTTGGAATGCTGCATGGCAATTCGTGGATGGTGAGACCTGCCAACTTCAGAAATGTCTCTACAGTATGTGTTGCCTAGTTGTCTGCATGTCTAAGATCTCAAACTCTGAACATTAAGATGTAGAACTTAGCATAACGCAAAAACACGCTGGCAAGCTCGAAATATTTCCCGTGATAAGATTTTTCAATCAGAACATTAAGATTTGTCTTAAACGATTAGTTTTATCGCTGCACAATCAACAAATCTAGAGTATCGAGTACTTGATAATTGAAGGAATCGGATCCTGACAGCACATCTAAGTATCGAGTACTTGATACTTGAAGAAATGGGATCCTCATTGCACATCACCTGGGATTGCAGAGTGGAAGTGATATGTTTTATTGATCAGATTCTATCCACCTGATCTGGTGTTTGTGTATTTAGCTCTATATTCAGCTAGGATCAACCAATATTGAATTATCTTCCTCTCAAACTTCCAGTGTGGCTTAACCGTCTGGGTTGACGTAAAATTTTTGAAGACATTGTTGTACTAAAGTCCTTCTTTGAAATATTAAGCTCCCACCGTCTCCAGCATGTGAGGCTTCTCTCAGCAGTGATTTCGACTCATATCCGTGAACCGTGTGTTCTTTCAAAACTCTGCTCGAGAATGACGTCATGAAACCAATCTATGAAAGCTATTGAGCAGAAGAAGATAAATCGGTCTTTTATATTGCCAGAAGACCGAAGTTCGGAGGCATGTTAAAATTTCACGTAAGGATTCCAAAATAGACATTTCAAATCTTGTACTTTTCAGCATAGTTTTCTGATCAATGTTTAGCCAATCTGAACCTCTAATTAGTCAACCTACTTCACTTTCTACACCCTTCTCTATGTCAAGATTTAACACTTATTAAAAACTCCATGTTAAGTGACGTCAATAACTGACAACTAAGCAAACATGTGTGATTATTTCATCGATTTTCTGATTGACCCGGAAAAAGCAAACCACTGGGCCTCCAGATGCTAAGCTCGACAGTGTCAAGCAGGTGTAAACCGAGACTTGTGCTGACTTGTACTGGTTAGCACACGTTATTTGTGAGCAGTTTGTAGAATTGGCAAATGTTGATTTCACATCTGCCAGCTGTTAGAAAATAATATTGTCAGAGATAATGTTGATATTTATGTAAAATTGCGAAGAAAACACAACAATATGATATTCTTTTCCACAATTATTTGGTCTGTTGGAGAATAAACTGAAGCAACGCTCTGGACGTGTCAGATGCGTGGGACTATGTCTGAACATTCCTTGACGAGAGCATACAGCGCTGTCAAGTTCTACCGGTGAAATTCATATAGCATGGCAATGATCCAAGCAATCGCCCAGCCCGCCAAAGTAAACTCAGAAGATCTGTTGTACATATGACTACGGTTTATGTCAAAGCTGAGGCAGGCCATCAACCAAAAGAATCATGTTAGGGGTATTATGAATTGTAAATAGATGAAGTCCTCAGGACCCGAAGGGTAAAATGGCTGAAAACCACATAACGAGTCATTCATTCACTCACCAGGAAAAAGATTAAACAAGATTTTCTTTTGTCACAATAGACTCTAATCGATATTTTTGTATACATGGTTGGTATATTATCATCAGTGAC